ACATTTTCAAAGGAAAATTCGAAAAAAAGTTCCAGGAATAAAGGGGGAATGGTGGAGAAATCGTGATTATTTCAATCCCTGGTTACTCGGATGAACGTTGACACTATGGCTGAACAGATTTCACCGCGACGCGTACAAAGACGCTACACAATTATCGCGTTATTGAGGGGTGCCCCTCCTATTTTCCAAAAGTCCACAAAGTTCCCCGCTGTCTCCGATAGAAACTTGTGCCAAAGCTGGCGTACTCACCGGAGACCAGCTTATACCGCAGTCACGTTACCAGTAATACGGCACAAAGTCGGTCTGAAGCCGAGAGCTCGCCATTCAAGAATATCAACCAGTCCTGCAGAGGACATAATCCTTCGCAAGATTTAACGTCCGTCCGAGTAGAACGTTTATTTCCACCCGAAAATATCTGGTTTAACACGATTTTTTCGTACGACAAACGATATTTAAAAAAATCTCTCCCCGCTGAGAATCTACAGACTACGGAATTGGTTGAGCGTATTCACTTTGTAAACTGATTACGCGTTTATCATGGTGGCGCGTATGCACGACCGCAACACCGCAACGAAAATACCCTGGTAATTAGGAGCGAGTCGCGTAGGAACGAGTAGTACGGGACGGAATTGATCCGGCGTTACGAGCGGCTATCACGTGAAAGGCCGCTCGTTCGCTATAGGTCGGGGCAAAGAGTGGGGAATGGAGATTTTCTCCGTTGACACGACGATTTGTACGAGCAACAGGCAACTTTCATTAAGCCTTTTCAAGCCGGGCTACCCTCCTCCTCCCGTCTCTGTCTTCCCTTCTCCTCGCTCTCTCTCTCTCCCTTCCTTCCTCCCTCTCACGGTCTCGTGCTCTCTTTGCCTCTGTCGCAGGCGCGCTCCCCTCACCACGTGTCGAAACCAGCCACATAATCGGGACTTGTAATACAGGCTGACTGAAAAGTACAGTAGCGTGGCTCGAAAGGTGAATTAGACGAACAAAAGGTAGGAAAGCAGCCACGCTGAACGGCTTGCGTTTGCCCACGAAATAATATCGTTCAAACGCGAAAACCTAGCAGCTTTCCGATCGTTTTTTTCAGTTTGCTTCGATTGCTGAAACATCCTGTACAGGTTTGTGCAAGCGAAGAATCGCGTTCGTGAGGCAAGAGTTGCCGGAAGCGTATTGGACGTGAGAGGATATCTCGTTTGTTAAGGCTCGTTAGCATTCTATCCTTTAACTCCGTTCCCTGTTTTCGCTTCTTTTCGTCTGTCGCAATTACCGATCTCTATCTGACCGTGTGCCGAACACTCCCTTTCCATCAGCCTCTCAAAAAGCCTTCTCTCCCCTATCCTTCAACTCGACTCGATTCCGCTTTTAATTCCTCCTAGGTTGTCCCTGTGCCGTTAACAAACGCGCCTCTACGTGGCCGAATTCGTTCTTTGTTAATGGGATCTAGTATAATCAGGATAAGAGAATGCTTGCATATGCAAAGCCATGATTGACACTGTCGTCGATTACGAAATGAATACTATATTTGAGTGACGATAGAGCAGTAGCAACAGCAGCAGCACCGTTCGATACTCGAGTAATGAATACACTTCTCGATATTCCTGTCGGCGCGGCGTTTCACGGAGGCCAAATTTAAATACGTTCCATATTTTCCGATCGCTCTGCTCGTGAAATCGATGCTTGGCCGTGCCCGCGCGTATCGCATAAATAGCCACGTTAACGTTACGATTCTTCTCGCTCGATCCGTTCCTTTTATCGATCTACTTGTCCGTGTAGAAGCTGGTCCGATCCTACTACGATGGTCCACGTACCCCGGAGAAAGTTATTCCTCCGAACGGTGCTCATCGCGGAGGATACAATCGGGCAACGGTACATTATGTACACAGATACCGGGTACCTATGTATGTCGGTATAAAGGGGAATTTTATCACGGAGAGCTTCCCTCTACTACTTGCAGCGTCAACGAGCCAGCCGGAAACTTGTTTCTCTCAGTGTGTACATAAATATCCAGGAAAGCGCGAGTCGTGTATGCAGCCGAGTTCGATACGTGCGAAAATGCCAACTCCGCGCCGACCCAAGAAATCACTCGCGTCGGACTCTTGTCCCATAACGTCTCCCTCTCGTCGAAAACTTCCTCCCTTCGAAACTTCTGCTCTCTCCTCCACCTTCTCCTCCTTCCGCTCTTCAGTCTGCACTTCCTACCGTACATATATACAGGTACCTCCTATATACCGTATATACCAACTTAACGGTGCCTTTTTATCTGTTTTCCATCGGGTGAAACGAGTTGGCCTTCCACGGCGCGAGTGGTCGATAGAGCCGTGGAACGATGATCCCTCAAGATGAGCCGCGCGTATCGAGAAAAGTCAGGGACCTCGTGGGTCGCTCGCGCAACAATTTTAACGACGGCGTGGACTTAGTTGGAGGAAGAAGGATGGGCAGAGTCGTTCTACCGCGACCGAAGGTGGCGATCGAAAGAGCCGCGCGACCCTACACGCTCCTCGCCAAGCATACCAACACCGCTCGTATCGTTATTCCGAAAAGGTGAGAACGTTTACACGGCCGCGTACAAATGTTCCACAATGTCACGGGACGTACGTGTAAAATTATACTACAGATCAGCCTTTTATCGCTTTATTATGATAACGTCGGCCCTCTTTTCCGTTCCGAACAGCTCTACCCTTACCCGTATCGTTCTACGGTTATTTCTCCAATTTTTCCAAACAACAGTTTCGTTCCTCGCGTATTTCCGCGTTGCATTTTGAAATACGGCTTTACCTCCACGTTGCTCGAAAAGCGAGCTGTTGGGGGAGTTTTCGCGTAAACTCTTATTTGCGTACTTACCCTTCGCCCATCCATCCAGTTGTTTTAGCAGTCGCGAGCAAAGTCGAGCGGTGAATGAGCGATAAATTCGAAGAGGAATATACATACATATTCGATCTACATATATGCTCAGTGTCATCTATGAGGTACCGAGAAAACAAACATTGATTCTCGGCTCCCTCCGACGTGATTCAATATTTGTATCTCCCCAATGAAAGTGTATCATCGCGCGTCAATCAAGAAGAACAAACGCTCGCCGAAATGTACATCGCGCGATTTCCAACGTGTGAATCACACATTGTCATTCCGCCTGTCTTTCTTCGTTCGCCTCTGATTCTTCTTCCTCTTGGTCCGCTTTCGCCGATAATTGCCTAAAGCAACACAGCCTGTTAACGCAAATAGAAGGCTGACGAATATCTATACACGGAAGAAATTAACCAGGTAAGTTAACCCAATTCCACCAGGTATTCCTCGGGTCGGCTGAAATTTCCACCGCGGAACGAATTATAACGTTCGTGGAAATCGATATTACTGATGGTAATAACCTGCAAGAAGAGAGAAACCGACGGGGTCCCGATTGGTACAGTCGTATATATACCGTAGCGACCTATAATCTCCTCGAGTACGGATCGTTCGTTGCTTATCGAGGTGTTTCAGCCGAACCTTCCTCGGTTCGCTTGAATTTCGCTTGAAAAAGTGAAACGGTCGCGACGGGCGTTGCTCAATTAAGATCTAGACGTTTCGTGCATCGAGTCATCGTACGCTATGCACACCGAGGTAACAACTTTCTATCTACGGCGATATGAACGTGCGGACGATGTTAGGTATTCGACTAATCCGACCTACATCGTTCGACCACGCGTTCGTTCGACCACCTCGATTGATCCTGGCTGGGGAAATTGGCGACAAGGCCTTGACCTACGTCTCGAGGAACGTGCCGCCGGCGAACCTGATACAATCGTAACGCGGCAGAAATTGCGGATTGCGGGGGGAAATTCCTCGTCGTCTTGTATTTCTATGGAAATCTAATCTGTCCCGGAATGCCTGTAATTTCATTTCGTTCGAATCCTGTCAACCTGGTAATATCGTCGACGTCGAAATTGAATGTAAACGAAGCGGGAGAGGAAAGAATTTTTGCGCGGGACCAGGGACGGTGTAGAGATTATCTGGCCGGGTTGAAGGTTGGAGAAACGATCTGTACGACGAGTTCTTGTAAATTGCCCCGTTCCCCGGACGCACCACCGTTAATTATGTACCGAGTAATTAGCAACTTGTTGATTGTCGTTAACCTCTCGATAACAGTGGGATATAAACCGTTAATTACATTTTCCACGCGTACAATACGCGAACCGTAACTGGGTTGTCTTCGGATGGCACAGATATACGTTGTCCCGCATCGTTGGAATACTTCCGATGTCGTATGCGAGCCACGCGACACACCTCGAAGAATGCACGTTACGATTGTTGCGTAAGAGACAGAGGCGAGAGGAGGACGTTCGTGGTCGCCTCGTAGAAAGTGAAACTCCGTGTAGCGTTGACTCATGACGCGACGCGGAAACCCAGCCTGGGTGAAATATTCTTGGAAACGAGAGTTTCGACGAGAGTTCAGGCACGTTATAAAACGCCTCGATGTATAAAGTTGCTCGTATAGTTTACGGGAATAAAGGTATCTATTGTAATACAGCGAAATTGAAACCAGTCGAGACGCGAGAATAAAATATAAAATCTGAATCTGGCTTATTACTTTCCCGCTACTTGCATCCGACATTATTACTGTCCTCGCTTCTGACGTCACAGATCGTTCCCCCTTGCTCTCTCTCTCACTCCCCTTCCCGATCCTTTTCATTTTTACACAACCACTCACTCTCGGTTCTCTCGGTATATAACTGCTCGTTCCGCGAATAAGATTCGATCGGAAACAGAGACGAGTGAATACGATCGATACCGAGCTCCCCCATTCATAGGCTTAAACCGAGAGAACGCGAGCCTCTTTTATGGAAAGTAATCCTATTTTGCATTTCGAAGAATAAACTTTATTTTATATATCATACGCATATGTTATTATCATCTCGATATGTATAAAATGCATGTACGTGTATGTGTATGTATAAACGATACCGAGCGCGAGTAAACGTGTAGGTAAAGAGTAAGAAGGATTAACGGTGTTTGAAATAACGCGTGCTGTTATAAAAGAGTGAACTCGGTACCTTTTGCAGAATGCACGAAGAAAAAGAATTTTAATCGTCGGTGCCAGAGACTTGTACGATCGTTTAGCACAGCTATTCTAAGCAGATCCTTCCTCTCCTCCTTTCTCCCTTCTCCGTTCTTTCTCTCCCCTCTCTATCTTTATCCGGAGCATCGTTGTTTTCCCCTCAGCTGCTCACAATTATACCCTGCCTTAAGAAACTCCGGCATACTGCTGCACTATCTTCGACCACTCCTTAGGATAGGTCCGCTGAATGTGCGAAAGGACCTTCTTGATCTGTCGTGTTTCCTCCGGGCTACACTGCGGGCAGGAGCCTCTCAAAACCAGTGGTGCTAAACCTGGATAACAACGCCCGGGTTAAATCGAATTCTGCCGGTAACTTTATAGAAATTTATCGGCAAAGTCTTCGAGGAAACACGCGGCCCCCTCGAAATACACGTATAAATTCGATCTAAGCAATTCGATGACTCGCCGTCCCGAACAGCATGGAGTTTACCACAAAATGGGGTTAACTTCGACAAAGACCAATTTATCCCTTCTCTCGAAATGCCTCCATTTTTTACCGATTCTCCACTTTGTTCGCGAATACGAGAAAATTAAAGGAGCGACAGAATAGGGTATTATTATTATTCTTGTACGCTGTCCACGGGTTTACCAGCCGATGGATTTACTTGGTACGACGGTGCACGTACTTTTTAAACGTCTTCCGACCGGGTCACAGGGAGCCTCTCCCAGCGCGCACTTGAGCTGTCTCCTGAGGTAACGCTGGTCGCTCAGGGCCATATTTAGTTGCTCGTCGGAGACCCGCGATCTTCCAGTCTGTCCTTCTTCAGATTCTCCCATAACCGTGCAGACAAGTAGCACGCAAGTGATCAACAACAGCTAGAACATCGTTCGAAATGGTCAAGAAACAAAGAAACATCGCAGCAAAGATTCTTCCAAGATACGAATAAACGATATTTACCGTGATAGGACGTTACCGAGTACTAACGGGTTTCCAGGAGGAAGGAAATTGCTGAACGTAAAGGCGAAGGCGAAGGGAAGTGACGGATTAAAGCAGCAAAGGTCGGAACACAGGAATATAGGGTGAAACTGCGAAAGGGGATAAGGAAAGGCTAACTGTAGACAGCGGCTAAACGCAGCCCGGGCGAAGCACGCCAAAGCTAACGTAACTAAACAAACAGCAACCACCGTGAGTAACGATGACATGCGTGTACCTAGGACCCCCGTTTGTTTGCTTCCCTTGGCCCGACACGACGGCCCGCTTCGACACGCTTCCGTGTATCGTTGCAGTTATACATTGTACACGCCGACTAACTAACGAGCTTCCTTTTAAATTACTTGTTCCGTGTCCACCCTCGACAACAGTTTTCTTCAACCAAATCCACTCCACAAAGGGTGTTGCTCAGTTTGCAATCCCGTGCACGCACCACAATTTTCACTCTGTCCAAGTGTGTTCTCGCGTGAACAAACAGAGGAGGGAAGAATTGTTTTATGGAGCTGCGACGGTGAGGGAAACAGGGGAACCGGAGCAAAGTGAAATTTGAAAAATTACCCTGTCGCGGAAGAAGGTGTAAATTAGTCGCTTTACCCATCGAGAATCTCTGAAATCGCGAAAGTGGATGAATCTATAGCTTCGAGTCTCTGATGCCTGTGTGTAATATTATAGTATACGTAGTGTGCAACGCACGCTGTGTTTTTTTCCAACGATCTTAGATTTATTCTCGAAGCGAACGATTGCTCGTCCATCGTTTGAAAAAGCACGGAGCGAACGAGCGAACGCGAGGAAAATACAATAGGTCCTATTAAATCGTAGCTACCTGATGGATGAACATACTTTCGCGGAATATTCCGAGTCCTGTGTGCGCGACGTATCCCCTTCCTCACTCTCTCTCTCTCTCTCTTTTTTCCATTCTTTTGACACGCGCCGTCACTGATATATCGAAGTTCGATTTTTATTATTTTCGTCGGGCTTTACCTCTCGATCCCCCATGTACCGCCTCTAACGATCGTGCTCGTTTTTAAACTACTCGCGCCGCAATCCAGAACACGTGGTCCTTCCCTTTCTTTCCTCTCCCTCTCCAACCAGCTTTTGATTCGTCCAACTGCCCCTGGCTCTCCCCGTGCTCTCGTCCTAAATTACTCGCGAACCTCGAGGATACTTTGGACGCGTTTCAAAAATCACGCGTTATTCCTGCAATTTTTTCTCCTCGATACGTAAACTTGAAGCGATCTTTCGAGAGAGAGGAAGAGCTCTCTGTTTCGAGCAGCGAAGTGAAACGAGAAAATCCGACTTTCTGAAAGTTCGGGGAGCGTTAGATATGGTTGGTCCGGATAAGCTCGCGCGACTTTTCGTCGATCCACGCCCAGGGTATCCGGTGTGTAATCGGCCGAATTCTTGGAGTGGCTCTATAGCGAGTTTCGATTTTCCCACGGGGACATGCTAATAATCGCGACGGTTCGGTAAATCACCACGATGCTCTATGTACACAGGCTAGGGGATGATTTGTGGATTGGATGCGGGCTCGGGTACGCGCACGCAAACCGCTTACTTCCGCAAATCGACGTGGATTATAAGAATTATTGGCCAGGCTGAATGGCAAATGGGTGTGATATAGATTTTATTGCTGTCACGTCGCGTCGGCTGTAACGATAGTAACCATAACGTTCCGGGTTATTACGTCCGAGGGAGACGCTGACGGTTCCTCTCGGCCATGCATTCCACGTGGATCCTACGTATGGTCCGTTAATTATCGTCACAGTCTATGAATGATAATTCACCGTTTAAACGGGGTTGGTACGGCCGTTGGAAAACTCGTGCCGTTACAGTTATCGGCGGTGCACGTACCGCCGTTCTACTCCCGCACACGCGACAATAAATAATACTTTATTGTCTATATACGGCCAGCCAGAACGCCCCGCTGTTTCGTATTTATTAAATTAATTTACAATCGCCTAGTTATCGAGTCGCAGCCGACGGACAACAATTACACGGCTCCGTGATTCCCGCTCGATACCGACAACGCTTTCGGTGGATTACGATGTGCCGTAGTACACGCGAGAGAAGAATACCGGCCGATGTAATAAATAGAACGAACGCCGGGGAATTAACGAGAACTTAAATACCGTCTTCTTCTCTTATTTCTTTCTCTCTCTCTTTTCTCCTCTCGTCGCGAATTCTTCGCTAACGCGATGGAAATTTCGCAATGCTTCTTCTATGGTAGGCAGGTATGCACACCGTGCACGCGGCTATTGTGTCGTAAACGAACGGCAAAAGTATCCTTCGAAACGACTTGTTATTCCATGCAGCCGTCGTTTCTGTGCCATAGTTATACGTACGTAAACGTACGATTGCGGCACGCATGAGTTACAACGTCGCGACGCCGAGCCGCACGCCGCGTCATCGATAAAGGTGCTCCACGTTCCGATCGTTCGCTCGTAGACTCGTGCTACGTGCCGTAATTTAATAACTTCTTCTCCGGCAATTGACGGACATGAAAATACCAAGATCGGATCGATTGCACAGGCTGTGCAACTCTGCTTTCGAATTGCATAGAATTTCAAGGAACAAACGAACGTCTCGCCGATATCCTCTTCTCCGAGGAAATACTCGTATAACCGGAAACTCGTACCATCTCGACGTTTATTCGCTCTTTAATATTCCAAGGATTTCCGAGCTGTCGCGGATTTTTCCAAGTGTTCTTATCGTTTCGCGAAACGCGCGTACACGTTAATCCGAACGGTACACGGTTACGCTCTAGATATAACTGGTCTCCGCATCACAATACAGTGGCACTTTCGATCGCATTACAGGAAACTGTCTACCGTGACAGCCGATGCAATTGCTTCTAAACAACGGGGCGAAAGGAGGAAGCGAAATGCGAGGCAAGAAATGCCATCTTTTCTAGACGCGACAAAGGTGTCGATAGGCAGACGGTAAACTGAAATCCAAAGAGAACCAGATTACGAGCGTAAGTCCGTGACTCGGAAAGGATCGACGTCCCAGACGGTGGTCCTCTAAATATTCGAGGTAGCGGAAAAAGGCGCACCGTCGATGACACGGGGTATCGAATTCGCGTGTGGCGTATACGCGGCGTCCAATCACCCCTTGGAGTAGCAAATAGGACAGGGGAGGAGAAAGACAGCGGCGGGAGAGACAGGGAGAGAGAACCCCTCCGGATACTGCGAAACTTTAAATCACCGAGAGCGTGTACGTGTACATAGGGTGCGCGTGTCTCCTACCTGTTGCACGTTCGTCACTCACTCACCTTGATTGCCGAAGCCATGTCGGGAGTTTCCGATCCGCTTGGTGTCATGGTACTCTTCGAGCGGAGAAGCGTGGGCGCGAAGAAAAACGCCGAGCCGAAGAGAAAGAGTGAAATGGCAGGGAATGAGACGGAACGGTTGTCCTCTCGCCGCGAAATCTCGGAACGCACTGGCCCGAAGGTACGTCCGTGGACTTTCCTCCCCTTCTTCTCCCGATAAATACGAAAGTGTGCGTAGCGGCCGACGACGTGATGATATATACCGGCAGTTCTCCGTCTCCGAACACCTCGCTGTGTACCGCTGGTTACAAGGTAGGGGAAGGCCTGAGACATGCGTGAGTGTGCGCCATGCAGGTTGCACTTTTCTCCCCTTCCTCGTTAGAACTTCCTCCGCGGCCGCCGCGCTTTCTTTCGCACACCGCTCCGATCTGCGCCACCACGCTTTCTTACTACCATCTTTCGGCCTCTTTCTCCCGACCACGACGCGCTTTTCTCCAATCCTTCC